CTTTTGGCTAACCAGACACCCGAAGCAAATGAAGTCAAAGTGCAGTTGAAATTGACGAGTTTGTTTTAGGTTTTTTTCCTGAGTTCAAAGGGGACTGACAGTGCCCAAGGGGCGCTACAATAAACCTATTCTATTCTATTCTTCTATTCTATGTCGTAGAGGTAGGTGCACGAACTGATACCACCAGAAAACGGTGTCATAATCATTATCGGCGATGCAGGAGAGCTCTACCGGTTTCTTCCCTCGAAGTGTGATTTTCTTGTCAGCGAAACCACTAGAACGAAGGCAGGCCTTTGCATTACGTTGTCGAGTGTTTGCCACACTAAAATGCGTTTATTTGAATTGTGCAATACATTTTTGGGCACGCCCGTCCTGACCTCTATTGCAATGCCCGCAACGCTTCGACATGACTCAGAATATGCGTAAACGCTTGCGGCCGACAATCAGGTAGTAATCCAGCATCCTTGCAACAACAAACCGCGAGTGAGGATGAACCGCCAACTGAAGTCTGTAAGGCTTGCACAAATGTTACTTCTGAGTGGATGTAGAAAGTATTTCAGTGAGTTTAGCATGCCAAATTTGATTCACAGAAGTAGAGCAACGTCGTTCTACCTCTTCTATTCAAGATGGAAGGGAAGACGGGATGTTAGAATTCAGAAGCATGAGCTGAGCGAAGGTCGTTAAATATCATCATTCCTAGTTCTCCCTCACCGTTTTGTCTTATTCAGGAGCGAAGGAACAAGGAAAGCCCAAGGCAACTCTCATCTGGGTAAGAACCTGTCGACTAGCTACAGACTGCAGTGAGTCCTCCAAAAGGCCTTTTAAGGCAGATTATTATCTGGTTTCCTGCATTCGACTGCAGCGATTGACTCGGTCATTAGGAGAACCATGAAGACAAAGAGAATGTTCCCACAACTTACGAGCATGGCCAAGGCATGCCGTCAACTCACATGAGCCTAAATTCGAGTTTTTATGGGACTAACTAGTATTTCACCGTCAAAACAATCGTTGGATAAGGCTTCGCTCTCTCGCCAGGCCTCTTTGGCCAAGCAAAAAATTCTGTGCCGTTGTGTTATTCAATATACCACAATCAAAATTCCCCCAACTAGCAATTAATGGGAGTACAGTTGATAAATCATAAAGCGGTCATACTGATGTTTCCCAGAAATAAACAGTTTCAGTGATTGTTCTTCAAAATACTATGCTCCAGATAAATATGAAAATGGATCTGTTATTCATCTTCCTTCGAGTGCAGTCGAATTGTTGCTACCTTGAGCGTATCGTCAATCATCAAGTATAATGCAGCATGTTTTTATTTCTGAGCCCAGCTGCAGATCAGGGTTACGATTGGCTGAATGAAGGCAAAATAAGCCCGAAACAGTATTGCATCTACCCGCATGCTCTGTCGTCCCTCCTTTCTGCCATTATGACTTGGCGGATCTCGGCCTGGTAATCGGTTGCCTGTTTGTGACCTTTGCCACCCATACGGAGCTTGTTTGCCAATACATCGACGTGCGCCCATTCCTGGTTGAATAGATCGAAGTGTTTGAAAACTGGTGGTTCTTGAGAATATCACGGCCTTGGGTGACAGACCGGACCTGGAGCGCAGGCTGCTACCGTTGGTCGCAGACTCCCAGAACTGATGATGCAGTCAGGCGTTGACGTCTTGACGGATTTAACCACGCACTCTGAGGACCCAAACAGGAACCCGTTCACAAAGTTTTCTCTCAGCGGTAGCTAATTGAAGAAGCGGACGGATGCAGCTGTCATACCGGGAGGGTATTATCAGCCTTGGAAATACAACATGACAATGATGGCGTAGGGTCTTGATAACGATCGTAGCGTGAGAGTCCCACTTGCTTGTGGTGCTGCGACTTCTGTTGCCGTCTGCTCCAGTATCGGTGCTAGACGAAGCAATCATATGAATGCCAGCCAAATTGAAGACCCATGACTTTCCACGAGCAGAGGCGGGGGTATGGTATGTAAACCAACTGGAAAAACTGTAGTTAACCACAAGCCCGACATCAATCGCGGCCATGCCTGTAGCAAGTAAACTTAAAGCTTGGCCCGTAAGCCTTTCAAAAAGTCGAACGTAACGATAACCTAGACCCAAGCCTTGAGATCCTTACCCTGACTATAACCTCTAGGCCTTGAACTCTAACCCCTTACCCTAACCTTGACTCCAATCCTAATCCTAAAACGCCAACCCTAAATCGCAAACCCTAGCCTTGGTCTCAACCCAAAACCCAAGCTGTAACCGAAGCCCTAAGAGTAGCCCAAATCCCAAACCTATCCCTAACCCTGGCCCCTACCTTTAGACCAATAAGGGAAACGTTACTGTCAGTAACGCCAGTGAAGGTCAAAATCAACGTATCGCATAACGGCCAATCACAAACTGTCGCCAGGCAAACCGTCGTGAACCACACCCACCTAAATAACGCAAGGAGGTAGATTGCTGAACAACCATCCAAGGAGGCTATATACCCTACGCCCGATCAAGCAGATTCTGTTTTAGCACCAACATACTTAACGGGACCAAGTAACAAGACTTCAGCATTGTCACCGTTACCTAGATACACCTGTAGACCTTCCACCGCAGTCGAAACACCGTAACACAGGATCCGCCCTCAACGATGTCAAGCTAACCGAAGAAGAGGAATGTGTTTCTCCGTTGGACAAGGAAATTGCCATCGCACCCACGGGAATTTTTCGAAGGTAGGACCAGGGCTTGTCAACGGCAACAGTGTTGCCTGTGTAGATGAACAGACCGAAGGACAAGTAATTTATCCTTAGCTGTTTCCAAAAAGTCAATTTCTGCTAGTCTTAAGTGATTATAGTGAGCACACAGAACTCCCGCGGTCCGCCAGCATGCATTTCGTAAGCGACAATATCTTACAATCCTGGGCCTAGGGTGTGAATCCAACGAAGTCCCAAGGTTTTGCTATACAAAACTATCCAAGGCCTGGGCATTAACGTAACCAAATTGACCTCGACACGACCATGAGTGGAGCCTTACCCAACTAAATAGAAGCCGCACAATTCTGCCGGCGCCAGATAGGTTAGCAGCAGATATCCTCATAGGGGTCTAGCTGACAGGAATCTATGGACCCTAAGATGTGAGAAATTTTGAGGCGTATACCCGGCATACCCTGTTCAACGACCCAACGGAAAACTCTATCCACCTGGACAGTCTGGTTTAGGGCAGTGTGCTTGCAGGATGGAATCTCACCCCAGAACAAAGTCTCGGTCGCAAATACAGTGCGTGACCGATCTCATGAAATGTTGGCCAACACGCGTTTTCGATTAGGAAGGATTACCTAAGCGCGGTTGTAATACTGTAATCGTATAATATTTCGGACTCGGTAGGATGTTAGCTTTTGAATACACTGCTTTTCAGTCTCCTGCAAAAACCCTACTCGGTAAAAAATGACTACTTAATTGGCATGCATTTTTCACACTGATTTTCGATGGTCTCGCGAATTCAAATATATTTTATTGAATGCACGAACAAAAGTATGCTTTCTTGCAGCCGTTTGATAGAGAATCGAGTCCTCGTCATATTCTATACTCGAAGAAGGACTATAATGAGGTTTTAAATTTCTAATTGTAAGATTATTAAGACCTTGCAATATCAATTCATACAGCATTGTATCTGTCCGTTTGCCACTGCTCCTCGTGAAATGTACAACATAGTCCGTATCCATTGCAAGATTTTGTGGTCTCTGTATAGTATCTTTTTAAGGGAATAGAAGAATATGTGATTTTCATTACGCGGAATTCATGCACCTTGTAGACTGAAACCACTAGACGCTAATGCGACGGCTGATTAGGCTCCAAATTATTTAGCAATTAGAAAACTTTTCAAAACCTAATTATACGCCTTTTCCGAGTATGAAAAATAAAGATGGCGCGATTCGCTATCAAACGACCGAAAGAAAGCATATTTTTTGTTCGTACGTCCTATAAAATAAATTTGAATTTTCGAGACCATCGGAAGTCAGTGTGAAAAATGCATGCTAACTAAGTAGTCATTTTTTACCGAGTACGTTTTTTGCAGGAGACTGAAAAGCAGTGTATTCAAAAGCAACCATCCCACCGAGTCCGAAATATTATAGGATTACGTCGCAAGATAACCAGTATTACAACCGCGCTTAAGTAATCCTTTCTTATCGAAAGCGCATTTCAGAATTTTGGCCAACATTTCACGAGATCGGTCACTCACTGTAGGTCATGATCACAAATGAAACCATTCCCCGCAGAAACCCATCCTGATTCAGCAAGTCTGACTTCGGACTGACTAGCTGAGATCCCAGTGTCATTACGTAAGGGCGAGATATGCAAAAACTGGGTTGCTAGTCCGGGAATACAGTCTGGGACCAGTCTTCGCATGATCGGCAGTAAAGTTGTTTCTCTCCACGCCTGATAAGCTTCCCAACCGCCGAGTATACTTGTAACTATTTCTCTTGAGTGGTGCATGTCTAGTAGTTTAGACGAAAGACTGCAGGGAGTATGTATATCTTATCTTCAAGAAAAAATGTACATGGAAAAAGAAGCCCGGAAGAGGACAGTCTACTTTGTCAGGACTGCAGCTTGTTTGGCCATCCTTGCTTTGAACTTCTGCACACGAGCGGAGCGTCGAGAGGCGGCGTCCTCAAACAGGGTCACTGGCTGCTCTTCTTCAATTTTCTGTCGCAAGAAATCCAACGCGGCTAAGTTGACCCCAATTAACTTCTAGAAAGAGAAGAAAAGAGGGGATCCGGTTAGTGTGCCAAAAAGAGAGATCACACAAGCACCAAAATCCAGGTGTAGCAAAATGGCAACAACAAACCGCAAAAATCACAGCGAGATAAAATCAAACCCCCCGCGCTCGGCACGTGAGATGTGAACTCAAGCCAGTTGATAATTGATAGGCCGAGTTATCGCATGTAGTCGCACTAATAGAGCAGGAAGCAAGGACGCTTGTAATACGGGAAAGGTGGAAAAGGGAGTTTATAGGTGGAGCCAAAGGAGGCGCATGAAGAAATGCCAAAAGTTGCATCTGTACAATTATCTTGCTTAAGTATACCAACGGCTGGTGAAAACACGAGTGCGTGATTTAAGAAAATAAGAAGAAATGGAATCGGCTGATTCGCCTATTCACAGGCAACTTGCAAACCAAAAACAACGTGTACACAACCAAAGATCAATGAATGAAAAGACACAAACAGAATGTGTAGAAAAGTGACATACAAAAACCAAAAAATCAAGGAAAGATGAAATGCAGCAGCAAATGCAAGTTGCTAGTCAGCATATGAACACACGAATTAATATGCGTGTCTTCGCGAGCTGAGATGGTTAACCGCGCAACGAATAACATTACCGGTGTCTGTGACATAGTAGTCAGCATAGGGCCCATCACGCGTGTCACCGTGAGCTAACTGAACCTTTAAAGCTGATCATGAAAGCCTAATCGTAACCTTGAAACCCGAGCCTAAGTCCTCAAACTTAGCCTCGAAACCCTAACCCTTAACCAAACTTCGAAACCCTGACGGTAACCCCAACCTTAAAATTTTAACGTCCCATCTTAAACATCAAATCCTGTACCAAAATTAACTAATCCTAGCCCAAATCCTAATTGTGCTAACGTTATTGGAACATACCTACCTAGTTGAAATAAGCAGAATGGTTTCAGCGTGGAAAGCTCAGCACGTTGATGTTGGTCTCTCCTCGAAAGCGGATTAACTAAAAAGCGACCTGGACGCGCATCGGGTTCATCACACCCACCTCCCGATGATGCGCTATTTAAATTACATGGGGCTATACTACTGGCAGTATTAAAGTACGCGTTTATGTCTATATTTTTAAGCTGAACTTCTGAGGCAACCATGAACTTCGCAAGTCAGACGGGGAACCCAGTGATGTGCCCATGCCTTCGCAGCAGCGTCATGCATCGAAAGAAAAGCCGTAAGGCGCCTCTATGCGTAGAGATGAGATCGTTTATTATACAGGGGCAAGACAGTTAGACGAAAAATAGGCCCCGGATATCGGTGTGAGGTGTTTGTACTACTTAACTGGCTAATTTCTCCCTGATTCAGCCGGCACAGATGGCTGAAAAACTACCCTAACATAAGACGTGACATAATGGACGATGTCGAACTTTCCTATTGAGAAGTATCTTTTAGGATAGCAGTAGATAACCCAGGAGTTTTTGTTGGCATAACGTCTAGATGGCTCTAAAATCACTAATTGCCTCAAACCGAAGCGTTGTTTCCTCCTAGCTGACGGATTTGTAGGAGTACTTTCCTCAAGGCAGACAGAAGCAATTAATTTTCTGTCAATCGCTTGTAAAAAAACGAGTATTAACTCTGTACAAACATCGAAAGTGATGCAAGCACAAATACCCGCCAAGTAGCAAATTTGGTACAAGTAGGAAGGTCATAAGTCTGTGTGAGGCCTCTCAACAACGCCTAGGTTTTCTGCACACAAGAAGGCCAGTCAGACAGAATAACATCACCGAAAAAGACAAGGATGACCAGTGCTAGCTCATTAGTAGTCGTCAGCCAGCCCTACCCAACTCCAGGTTCGGATAAACCGAGATTGGAACGCGGACACCTTAGTCACTGAGCACTAAGTAGCTCAACATTCTACCAGTGACCCACGGGCCAGTTGTCTTGTCGGTTGCGATCGGAAATATTTACAAAATCGAGAGTACGTTCTCCGATCAGGTTAGAGGACACGCTCGTCCCATTGAAACCCATGTTGGCGCGCATACCGGAACCTAAAACTCCCAACATTACAAAAATCAGTCAACCCAATGGGCAGGTTGAGAGAATCAGGCGAAGGTAGGTGCACTCACGCGGGTCTCCGAGAGGTGAGACCGCCGGGCGGCCTGAATGGTAGTCAGAGAATCACAGAGCTCCGTGCTAGTGGTCACCAGACCGGCGTGGAGGGAGCAGAGGTAGCGAATCGCCCGGCCCACCAGCTCCACATCCCAGCCGCGTTTGAACCATTCTGCCAGACAGGGCAGTAGGCGGACGACGTGGTCGGAGTGCAGCATGCCGAGGGAGTGTTCCAGACCCGCAAGACCGCCACCCATGGCGGGTAAACGAAGGGAGGAGAAGACGGTGAAGAGGAAGCGGTCCGGATCGGAGGTCTGATAGGCTGCCATCAGGGGGTCGGGTGGGGCGGAGGGATCGGAGGTCTGCTTCGTGTAGATGTCCACTGCCTCCATCAGCGTGTCCGCCTGCAGGGGGTGGAGATTGACGAGGTAAGCATTCAGAAGTAAAAAACGGCCTGCAGCCACGTTGGCCGGCGGTCTTTGGAGGGATGTAAGAAGTCGAGCGAAAGGGCCTTTTAGGGAACTTCAGATTATCAGTTTTCTAGGTGGCCGACTCTTCCAAGTCCCCCCATAGTTCGGTTAATTGTATAATACTCGTGCTGTGAGTTTTGAGGCGTCGGGCAAACTGTCTTCACTTGATAAACTTGTCGGGAATCGACCAGTATTCTCGACTTCTCGTCAGTGCGTTGAGAGAAAACGGCAGGATTTTACAGTCTTAATACCTATGAATCTAATCCCGAAGCAGATCATGAACCGAAGGCTCCGAGGCGTGTTTCACAAATTACCTCGGTGTCAACAGACGCGAATAGGAGAGTTCTGAGAAGCAGTCCAGAAGAAGACGCAATCGCTGGAACAAGAGCCTTATTGGCCGGCAATCCGGATTCGTGTTGGAGCCAATCACCAGATGCGGTCGCAGAGAGGGTTATTTGAAGCACAAAGGGCGCAAGGTGGAGTGGTCGAGCCTCAGGAGTTGGGTATGGCTTGCTGATGACGGCCATTCCAATTTTTTCTGCAGTTGTCGACAATGTGTCTCTGCATATACTACTGGCGTCTATGTGACTGCAGGCGGGATCCTAGATCAGCCTTCCAGAGGCACAGCGGGGGAGTGAGTTCCCTAATCGGTAGGTGAGCGCCCATCTACCAAGGATCGCAGTTGCCTGGCAACAGGCCTACAATAATTAGCAGAAGTCGTGTTTGTCGCATAGCCCGTGCCCGGATCGTTAATGGCTGTGATTTCGCCATCTTCGTTTATTCATGGCGTGATGCTTATTTGGCCACTTGAATCACTGTCACCGGAACTGTTGGTCGTCCGCGCCCCCTCCGTATTTTTTACGATTTTTAGCCGGACAACTGCGTCCTATAAATACTGCGCTCCTTATACCTCTACTATCCGTTTCTGCGACTGTCTCTGATGATGGATTCGAGGGAGAATCCGAAACGACAGGCCAATAAGGTTCTTGTTCCAGCGATCGTATCTTCATATTATTCTGACCTGAGTGTCAATGATGGAAAGTTCAGAGATATTATTCATCGGTAGATCGGTCAAAGGCCCTCCCTGAGCATATCCGTTCGCTTCCAATCACTTTTTTTTCTCGAAAACCTCATGGCGGCGGGTGGCACAGGCCACACGTCAGCGATTAAACTTTTGTGGTTAAAAATGAGTCGGTAGGCGCTTTCCTGGTCTCACCACTGCACGATATAAAAGATTGAACGAGGTCGATTTCGCAATTTTTCGTCACACCTCATATCTTTTGGCTGACCAACTGCTTGGCAGTAGCCAATCAGAAGGCGTCAGCCACTTAGCCGCCAGTCGTCAAAATGGCGGTCCTGATATGTCCAATCACATTTACCATGTTTGTACATAACTGGAAGTTTGGAGGAGGTGGGAGGGGGGTGGAAGGTGTGCTCAAAGAAGAGCTAAAAATCAAACAATGGCAAAAGCAGGGTTAACCTCCTAGAATCTTCCCGTTTCTGGATCAACTGCAATGAAATCTAATTCGTTCAATAGCTCATTCATTAGAAGCTTTACAGGCGAGATTACGGAGTTTTTTTTATTCTAGTCGAGGTATCCTTTGGCAAAATTAGGCACCATCCAAATCGTAAAACATGTTAGATACCGTCTGATGGAAAATCATGACAAAATTGAGGTTTACCTAACCAACGCAAAATGCGGACAGAAGGTCGATCCCTTAGTAGCTTACAGTAGCTCGCCTTTCTCACGGAGTGTTAACCGAATCTCTAAAATGTATTTTCGATCAGAAAGGATTCCTAAGAGGTGGAGTTCTAACAGTAATTATCATACAGAATAACTTCAGGACATTTCCGCCACGCCAGAATTCCGGTCACCTGCAAAAATTACACGCGGTAAAAATGACTACTTAGGTAATATAAATTCCTCTTCCACTGAGATCCGATGTCATTATAAATACAAATGTATTCTATAAAAATCATGGCCAAAATTATTCTTCCTTGGACTCATTCGGTAGAGAATTTCGTCTCCTGGCATGTCTATACTTGAAAAATGGGTATTCTTCAATTTTTTAAACTTTTTAAATTCCTAATAATCTTGAACCCGGCTTCCGGTTGCACTGGAACTTAGGGTTCTCAAACCACACGTTGCACACTTCCCTCGCAAAGAAAATCATACACCACTCTGCGCTAATAATACGTCATGCAGGACTCATAAAATTTCGTAATGGACACGAATTATAAGCATCACTAACAAACAGACATACGGTAATCTATGAATGGACATTTAATGGTGCAAAAAGTGTCATAATTACAATTTTTTTCTAGACAGAAAGATACCCTCCATTCAAGCGTAAAATTTAAGGAAGGCGTGATTTTCTACCAAATAAGTGCATGAATGTCTTTGTTCATGTTTTCTGTAAAGTGTATTTGGATTTATAAGGACATCGAAAAGAAGAGGGGGAGGGAGACAACTCATACTAAGTAAGTAATCATTTTTTTCCCGAGTGCGGTTCCTGTAGGCGGTCGGAGAGAAGCTCATTCACAAGTAATCACTTCGGTTCCATCACAAAAAGCAGATAAACACCTGAGCTTAAAAGATGGCAAAAAAGCATCAAAGCGACATTCACATCCCTCAGAAGCTCTCTTACGAACAAATAGACCTGCTTCGTGAAAGTTGCAGCAAGTTGAAGTCCAGGAGTGATCAACTCTGTTCAACAGGAAGGTGTCACATTGTCGAACTAGAATTATTCGTCTGCTCGCCTATCATCACACTGTGCCTCCAGGAGTTCTCGCATAAAGTCCTCACTACTGACTTAGTGTCATCTACAAACACCGTCGCCAGTGGAAACGGCAAGGTGCATTGCCGAGGCAACAGCCTTGTGCAATTATCTCCCAGTCCAGCGCCAGAGGATAGCCAAGGGCAACTTACGGCGTTACGAGTGGTGACTGTGGGCCGGCCGAGCGGACCGGTCTCAGCGGCCTCCGGTGCTACCGCACCGGGGATAACGGCCTCAGCGCGCACCAACTCGGCCTCCTCCTCGGCGGCCTCCCGGGCCATCAGAGCCTCCTCCTCCATCACCAGTAGTTCCTCGGACTCTTGCCAGACCCTACAGGAGAAGTCTCGACCCACCGAGACCAGGATACCACCGCAAATATCCTCATCGGCATCCGCGTCCTCCTCCTCTGCATCCGCCTCCTCTTGCTTGTGACGCCTCTGTGGCGGTCCACCCCGCTTGCCCGTCTTCTGTTGCTGTTGCTGTCTGGTCAGTTTGCCCAGACCTGGTTTAGTCGCGAGGGCAGAAAGACAGGAGACGGCGCCTTCGTGGCCCTGTAGGAAGGAAAAGTCAGGAAATTCTAACACACCACGGGATCTAGATACCCACTAAACGAGGTCTGAAAAGACAGAAACGTGGGCTAGCAGTTGGAACTCAATCATACAGAGACTTTTTGGCATAAGTAACGCAAGGCTATACCTCAACAGCCAGTCAGGTTTAAACCTCCGGCCGGCACGGTTCCGATTTTGGAGGCAACTGGCCGATGGTTCAGAAGCGGTTGCTTTCGCTTTCCCTGTTCCTGTTAGCAGTACTTCTCCCGAACACGAATGGCCGAACACGCTGCAGCTGTGCGGAGAAATGACGCCAGCTCATTCGACGAGATCCGGCCAAACAGTCCAATTCAATGAGGTCGAGTTTCGCACTAGAGGTGACAACCGCGTGGGCCGCGGGCTGCTTGAGTAATGGTTCACTGGCCCCTGGTCTATTAACAAGTGCAAAGACCTTCCCATTCCATACTCGGTGCTGAGACTTCGCCTAGGTGAAGTAATTAACCACGCGGGGAGCGCACAGGTGAGCACTTTTCTCTACGCCAGGACCGGTAGGTCAGATAGTCGAGCAATCATCACACCAACATCCAACACACGTGATGAGATTGCGGCAATTAATGGCGCGAAGGTCGGACATCAAACGGTCATAACACCAAGCGCGACGATCCCTGATGAGGGGGAAGAGCCGTGAATATTCACCGGAATGCGGTGGCATTGCGACTGTATCCTACAAATAGTGCAGCCCCATATGCGTGAACCACCCGTATCTGCTTTTGTCTCTGGTGATGGTTTCGAGCAGGAGGAGGCAATATTTCAACTCCTAATGTCCACCTAATAGGTGTTTTACGCCCGGCGAACTTCTTATTTTTAATACTAAGCAGACGTGATAGGGTAGCTCTGTCCTCCCAGGGTGGAGAGTCAGGCTGCAATGGTCCCTTCCAGGTGTGGTCTCTATGGGATCCAAGGTCCCCTTGTTTCTATCTATCGTGGGCAAATCGGGACGTGCGTGGCACGCGTAGACGATCGGCCCGACTTTGCCAGCCACTGCGCCTGATTCTACATCCGGCCGTCCTGACTCTATCTGGTCATCGGGCTTAGGCGGGTGAGGGCGTGCTGCAGATGCCGCGCAAGTCTGCCTCATCGTCAACTGTCACTGTCTTGCGACCAACACGCTGTGGGAAACACGGTGTCCTTTACGACGGTCAAACTGGCGTGAGAGGCCGGAAAAAAGGGGGAGAATGCGCACAAAACATGCTGGTCG